AAAAAAAAAAAAAGAAGGACAAAAATCAGGCAACAGACTGCGGAATTTGCGTTTTCTTTTTTTTTGATATTTTGGTACCCCTTACGGTCGCTTCCATGGAGGTGTGATAGACATCACTTCGACGCGACAATGCACTCTACATGATTGCTTGTTGTACATAATCATAATTTACTCAAAAAGGAATTGGAACAAGATATAATGTATTGGTCTGGACATGATGTGTCACCTAGCAGTTGAACAATGGGTATAAAATGTGTAATGTCAGAACGAGAAGGTTTCTTTTATTTCATTAAGGATACCCAGGCATGGCCAAGAAGATCCGTGATAAGTCGCTGTTGTCCGACATACGTAACATGGATATTAGTGATTGCTCAGAAGCTTCTCTACAGCCCATTTCACAGAGAAGTTGCGCAGATCCGAATAGTGCTGACCGACACCAACAAAAAGGACCGGGACGTTGGTTGCATGAACGAGACTAACTAGAGTGCCTACCATGTCGCCAACCGTATCACACTTGGAGATAATGAAGCCATCTAGCGTGCGGACAGCGCCAAAAGCAGCATTGAAGTTTCGAGCTTGCGCGACTGAGTCGGTGCCAACAAGAGCCTTATTGAGTGATTAGTCAATGAGCAGTGAAGTGCGAGAAGATGGGGGACTTACCTCGCCAACCATGAGAATCTTGTCGGGCTGAGCGAACTTGGCAAACTTCTCAAGAGACGACATAAGACGTTGGTCATTATGCCTTCTACCGGCTGTATCGATGAGGACGACGTCATAGCCCTCCTGAGCAGCATGACTCACAGCATCCTTCGCAACAGTGGCGGCGTCTTTGCCGTAACCCTTCTGGTAGAGCTCGACACGACCACCTTCACGGGCCGTCAGCTCCTTAAGGTTGCGAACGTGAACAGCAAGTTGCTCGACAGCACCAGAACGGAAAGTATCACCGGCAGCAATGAGAACCTTGTACTTGTTCTGGAGAAGGAAGAAGCAGATCTTGGAAAGGTTGGTGGATTTGCCGACGCCGTTGACACCGACAATGGACATGACATATGGGCGGGCCTTGCGGAGAGATGTTACAGGGGGAGCGGTAATGGCGTCGATCTCGCGGAGAAGATCGAGCGACGACGTGGGAGTGAGCATCTTTGTTAATGAGGCTTCCATAGCGGCTTGGATCCTGGCGTTGATACCTATGATACTTGTCAGTATGGGGGGTTTAATCGAATTTAGATCCAACGTACTCTCGAAACTGCCAGTCTTGACGCCTACCAATTCCTTCTCTACGCCTTCGCACAATCGCACGGCAGCCTCTCGGGCTACGTTCTTCTGTAATAAGTGCTCCTCCATACCCTTCATAGCCTTGTCGAGGTCCTCCTTGGTCAAAGTCTTGCCTCCGACAACATTGCGGAAGAGACCACTGATGGCACTGACGCCAGATCCCAAAAGACCAGACTTGGATTGTGACTTTGCTCCCGCCGCCTTCTCCGCTTCCGAGGCCAAGATCTCGTGTACCTCGTCACCCAAGTCCTTCAACACGAACTTGCCCTTTGATGTCGAGCCCCATGTATTGGAGTCAATTTCATCCACTGCAGTCGATCGCCCTTCAGCCTCTGAATCGCTGGTAGCGTGCGCCTTTGCGGAGTAGTCAAGCTGCACGTCATCATCCTCATCCGCGAAGCCATCGGCGTCCCACTTACGCCCTTTCTTGGTGGTAGTCTTCTTCTTTCGGGGCGCCTCGTCCCCGGAAGAGGCGGGAGCGGATGTTTGGTTCTTGGCTTTGCGCGCACGTCGCGAGATCTTGGCTATTGGGCCGCCCTTGGCGACAAGAAGGTGGTTGCTTGGTGTGCCGGGTCGCGAACCGTTTGGCGTCAAGGCAGGGGTAGACTCGTCGGCGGACAGGGCATCCTGAGGTCCATTGAGGTGACGTCCTCGGTATGTTAGACCGGGGGCAACAGGAGGTTCGTCGCCAGTGTTATCTGAGATGATTTCCTCTTCCAATGGGACTGCGCCGGCCGTGATGGTGGTAGAGGGACCCTTGGTACTAGTTTGGTCTAGCTCCTCGAGTTGCACGTCGAAATATTCATCAAAAGCATGGCATTCAACAAGGGTGGTATGCGGCTTCGTTAATTGTTCGCCGTAGAGCTTGACAAAAATGGTCTTGATATTATCGACGAGCCTGTCAACCCATGAGAGGTGGAGGAGGGATCGGTAGACAGCCTAAGAGAGGTGGGGACGTCAGCGCCGAGAATCGGGGGGCAAGAAGCCATCATGACAAGTAAGATCAAATACTCACAACGAAAATAATGCCCAATTCTTTGACAAGAGTCCACTTGAGAGTGTGCTGGTCGCTCTTATAGGGGGGATTGACTGCTGCTGATCTAGAGTCACTGAGTGCAATGGCGCCACTCTTCTCTTCGATAAAAGTATCCGCGATGAAGTTGTTGATGATGGAAGGATTGATGGGCGTGTATGTGCGCGACCAGACGACGACACCTGAGGTCGTCAATATTTCGAACGAGTCCAGCATTTTGTGTCTGTATGTTTCCCTTCTCTTAGGTCTGAGTTGTGCGAGCAGAGAATGATGGTGTTGGTGTGAGAATCAAGGTCGCGACCAACGGGGGGGGGGGAAG